GATGTCCATCTGGCACTCCCTAGACAGATAGGCGCCAATGGATGACCATTGATCATGATAGCCAGGCTTAGCTAAGTGCATCCCCCTTTGGGAGCTTTCCCTTATCAAAAGAAAACATCTTTAAATCAGCCTGCTTGAATAGTTTCTCTGTCGCTGCACCACAGAGATGAACAGAGAGATGAGGCCTCATTTGGGAAAGCACAGCGACACTTAATTCTGTTTTATTAACAAGCATTGCCGCTACATATGTAAATATAAAACATTAATAAGGCAGCATCAGATCTTTGAAGGCCAGGACGGGAGCCCCCACCAGCGTCCCTCACAGCCTCCGGAAGGCCGCCTCACACTCCGCATCCCACATGAAATGGCACCCCATCTCTGTGAGGCGGTGCAGCGGGGCGGCGAGGTTGACGAAGTCCCGGACGAACCTCCGGTAGTAAGATGCCAACCTCAGGAAACTGCGGAGCTCCGCCAGGGTGCAGGGCATCGGCCAGTCGCACACTGCGGCGACCCTCCCTGGGTCCGTGGCCACCCCTTGCCCCAGGAAGGTAACCTCCCGCCTCAGGAGCTCACATTTCCTAGGGTCGAGCTTCAGCCCGGCCCACCGGATGCAGGCCAACACTAACCGGAGGTTCGCCAGGGCCTGTATGAAATCCCGGGCATGCAGGAGCAGGTCATCCAAGTACACCACACATTTGCTCCGGGGGACCGCTCCATCAACCGCTCAAACGTTGCCTGGGGGCATTACACTGTCCGTAAGGCATGACTGTGAATTGCCAGAGCCCCTGGCCGATGGAGAAGGCTGTCTTCGGGCGAGCTTCGGGGACGACCGGAACCTGCCAGTAACCGCAGCGGAGGTCGAGCAAGCTGAACCAGGTCGACCCGGAAATGTAATCCCGGGCATCATTAATCCGCGGTAGAGGATAGGAGTCCTTCCAGGTGACCTCGTTCAGCTTTTTGTGATCGACACCAAACCTCCACGAGCCGGCAAGACGGCCGGGGCAGACCACGGGCTTGTGGAGGGCTTGATCAACCCTGCCCGAACCATCTGCTTGATGTGGGCCAGCCACCGGGGTGGGACGCGAATGGGCCGCGCATCCCCGGTGTCAATTTCATGCTGCTTGAGAGCCGTGCGGGTGCAGTCCTCATCCTTTGCCACGAACAGATCTCGGTGAGGAGAGACCGCAACAG